GGGTAGACTAGAGAAACAAATCTTCAGAAACTTATATATGTACCAGAGGGAGTGTTATATATAGGGTAAGTGTACACATTCAGAGAGCATCCCAACCCAGTGCTGTCCAAGCCCATACATCTGACTTAGCCCATATGTCCGACACAGATCTAAAAAGTCCTCCTCAAACTCACAAAACACACACAATGACACTGAATGTAGGAGGATCATAGGCCAGTGGGTAGAAAGTCTTTGAATCTAGTGGTGGTGTAAGCATCTCAGCACTGGCAGGGGTCTCCATGAGGCTTCTCCAGCACCCAGGGTTGCATCAGGGTAAGTCCATGTGACTTCTCCTCAGGGATGTCTCTCAGGAAGTGAGCCTTGCCAGCTGAAGCAGGGAACTGGCTAAGGTGGCTGCACCCTGGTCCAACCATCAGAGAGCAAGACACCCGAGAACTTGAAAGGTGAGCCTCACTGAGCCATTTATCTCTCCACCCTTCAATTAATCCCACAAGTGTTTATTGACTAGGTTGGCACAATAACCCTTAACTATCTCACCCAAGTAGAGTTAAATTCATTGTTAATAATAGCTACTGCTGTTCTCCCTCTGTCTCTGTTTCTGTCTCTTAGTATATATCTTGCATCAACCTTAAGATGTGGTTTGACATAAAGTAGGCTCGCAATAGTTACTGGGTGATGGACATGTCCTTCTGAAGGATATGCAGGCACATGAGTAGTCACGGTGAAGTATTTCTTCTTACTAATTTGCATAGTGGTAGTGGTCCAGGAATAAAGAGTATCCTGGAATGAGGGGATGCCTTGGCCCATAGCTCCCTTAGGTCACTGGGTAGTTTATACAGTCTTTCAAATCTAACTCTCATGCTTATGGGTCTATACCTTTTCATTTGGGGGATGTGAAATACAGTGGAGGTGAAATCTCACTGTAGTCAACAGAATAGCTAAAAGCCCAAAGAGAGGGAATCCAGTTATATTAGTCTTGTGTTGGACGGCTAACCACAAGGTCAGCAGTTTGAAACCACCAGCCACTAGAAGGGAGAAAGAAGGGGCTTTCTATTCCTGCAAAGAGTTAAAATCTGTAAAATACACAGAGGCAGTTCTACCCTATCCTATAGGGTCGCTATGAGTTGGAATTGACTCAATGGCAGTGAGTATTACTGAAATATAACGTGTGGTTATTCAAATAATTCCAATATTGACATTGGGGCTGGCTAGTGGCAGTCATCCCATGTGAAGTATGGAGAGAAATTCAGTAGTACCTTATGCTTAATGAATGCTTACAACGTATTAGGTGCTTTATATATTTTTAACACAAATAAAAAACATGCCAGTGTGTGCCAGCATCCCCCTCACAGATGATGCGGCTGAGGCAGTTTGCTCACTGTTACAGAGATGTGTCACAGAGCACAGAGATACTCAATATGAATGGATTTGAACACTGCTTTCTTTGATCTTATAAGCTATCATCCCTCTACACCATCCACATCTGACCTTGGGTCAGAAAAGGGGTGGCAAAGGGCATTATGGCAAACCTTCACATTACACCTACTAAGCTTTCTATGTGGTCCACAGTATGTAGGCGTGAAGACATTCACTTAAATAAGAAATGCTTAGGCATGCATTTTTCCTTTGTATTCCTCCGCTTCTGTCAGAAACTTAGAAAATAAATGAAACGGTTATCTATCTGGAATTGTTAGTGGAAAGGAAGATCGGTAAGATACCTCAGTGGTTTTCTAATTTGTTCAACTCAACCAATTTGAAGAAAAAGAAAAGCCACATAAACAATTATACCAACGTGCACTTAGAGGAGTTTATTCTAAGGAAATTGCACTGTGGTATCTGAGGTCCAAGACAGATTTTTGCCAGTACTTATCTGTAAGATAGAGTCCCTGAATGAGGGATGAGTAACACATTCAGCTACTAGTCCAAAGGTTAGCGATGTAAAGACCTGTCAAGAGAAATGGACTTCCAGAAATGTTTTATGTTCTCTGGACACTTAGGATATTGGATGCTCATTCTTTCCTTCTGTACTTTCTGGACTGGAAGGTCTGCTGTAGCCTATTTCCAGGCAATTCTGTGGTAAGTAACTCAGTTAGTTCCATAAACACACTTTCAGACAAAGTGGCAAAGCCATAAGCAAAGAAACTGGACGAGGTTTGTTCTTGAGCCATTTCCCATGGTAATGCAGCTCAATCAATGAATTTATTTTCAAATAGTTCTTAAGATGAGAAGATCGAAACAGTCATGCAAAAGCTTTTAGTGGTCTCTAAAATGCTTGAGTTAGACTCCTAGGGGAAAATAGGATAACAGAAAAAAAAAGACCCATACAGGAGAAGAGAAGCAATTGCACCTGGTGATGGGGAGCTTGTGTGTGTGTGTGTGTGTGTGTGTTAGGGAATCTCAGGGGCCTCATTATGGTCATATTATTTCAACCAACTCTGTGATCTTGGGTAAGTCATCCAACCTTCCCTATCCATAAAATGGAAATCATTACAAAATCTCATCTATAGTGTAATATCAAGATTAAAGTTGTGTCGGATATGTACTATGTATTCAGTAGACGCTCACTGTTGTTCTCTCAAGCATATAAAGATAAAAGTGGGTGAAAAAAGACAAACTAAAGATTGACATGGTAACAGTAATTGTAGATTGGGAGCCAACAGATGATTTTTTTTTTGTTTTCTTTCTTGCCAAATTTCTAAAAAGACTACATGCCATTCTTATAATCAGAAGGAAAAATGGCTTAAGACTTAAAAATAATTTAAAAATTCGTACTTGAGCAAGTTTCATGCCCAGAGGAGCCTGACCATGTTGGCTCCCATGCGGTATTTGACAGACAGACCACATCAGAGGAGTGGAAGATGGAAGGAGCTCTAATGTCTTGTTCACATTTTCCTCCCGAGCTTCTCATTTGCAGGGTGAAGAAGAATCCTTGTAAATGCCAATGAGCTTGACAGTGTGGCATTCCTGGTGTGGACCGAGTAGGGCCTCTCTCTGCTCCTGTGGCATGCCACTCTGCCCCTGCACAGCATGTACATCTCACTAGAAGATTAGCCTTCTGGAGGTGTGTGGACCCTTTTAAAAATGATCATGAATGGCATGCTTCTCTCCCAAGAAAAATGCACATTTGGGCTTACCGTTTTGCATTCAATTCCCTGAGATTCATGGGCCCACTTCCATAGCCCATCTCCACTGATGAATAATACCTAAGCCAAAGGCACAAATTTAGAAATGTATAAACACACATTAGGTGTGTAGACCACTTGGCAAAAAACTGATGTATTAAAAATACAAAGCTATAAGCCAGTTTTTGCCTTGCCAAAGAATTTACTTTAAGACATTTATAATTAGCAAACCAGTCCAATTTACTTGAAACAGGCCTCAGTTTACCCAAAGACTAAGTCCTTTCCAGGACACACCCTACCTCAGCTCATCGTGCCCAATCTAAAAGGTAATGCCAGTTCCTTCAGTTTAGTGACCCTCATTTGCAGAGTTCTAGGTCAGTCACCTCTTAAAAGGCCACCAATCCTTATCCCTTACGTGACTGATGGTCCAGAATGGACTATAAAGAGCCATCCAGAAACTTCTGGCTGGACTAGCGGTGGCACATCTGAGTGGCTTATGAGTCTGCTTTGGCGTGTAACATCTGTAATGAGGTGGAGTCCACCTTCCTATTTCAGGAAGGGCAAGAGCAAGCATTGACTAAGTCTTTCATTGTATCATGGTGGATATTATACCATCTCAAGTGTTCCTCACCAGGATTCTGAAAGGCAGGAGCTTTTGCCACCATTTCCAGATGAGAGAAGTGAGTTGGAGAAACTCGCTTACCCCAGGCCAGCCAGCCAGAATGTATTATTGTTAAAAAAGCTTAAATCAAATAAGAATCATGCAGAACTCTTATCTTCCACGGTCATCTGTGACGGTCACTTTTCGGTGGCTAGGAAGTATGCACAGTCCCCAGGATGACACCAAATCCTGAGAGACTGTAGGCTGACATTATATATTCAGGTGGCTTTGTCAATGGCTTCCAGGGACATGTTGTGAAGGGTGACAAGGGTTGGCTTCTGGTATCATCTTAACTACCTTCCCACTGGCACCCCTCTTCCCTTCACTCACCGGGGACCCCCGCATTCCAAGGATACCTGGGGTACCCGCAAAGACATCTGTATAAAGAGCAAGCAAGCCTTCATGTGAAACCATCCAGACTACACACCCCGTCTTAGGATACTGGGCTATGATTCGCACTCTTGGATGAGCTGCCTTTCGGCTTCACACTACTAGTAGCAGTTTTCTTTGATCCTCTTCCAAGATTTCCAAACCTGTGCCTGGCGCCCAGGGGAGTTCCCGCGGGAGAGCAACAGTAATCGTGACAGCGCGGTGCGGGTGTGTTTGTCTACCTCCTCATCACAGCCAATGTACGTTAGTAGAGTCTTAACTTCCACCAGAGATACAACAACTTTCCCATGACGCCGGTGCTTCCCCTGTGCACTAGTGTTTCGGCAAGGAGTGGTCTGTGAAGTTAGGGATTCCCTGTTTAGGCAAAAGGTCCCGGAGATCTTTGAGATGCACACACCCTTGGCTGATGCTGTGCTAAGCTCTCTGAAGGGTCTTCCCAGAACTGTATCCATCCCTCAGCCTAACACCTACAGGCGGTTGGGACACCAGCAGATTCAAAGCGCTGAACTACCAAGGCAACAACCCCCAAGTCAGCAATCTGGTAGCCCAAGGTCAATGGGAAAGGTCTGTGCTCTGGGGTAGCAGCCGCCTAGTGCATGGGCTCAGATCTGTGTGAGCGCCCAGGCTTGGGTCCCCAGGGACCTGGTCCAGCATCCTTAGTAGTGAATCCTGCTAGACGTGCAGGTCTCCAAGGAGTGACAGTCCTCGAACCCTGGTCAGAGTGGGGACCCTTCTCAGCCCCTGGCGCCAGCGCCCCCGTGGACAGAGCGAGGGTGGGGAAGCAGGACGGGTGAGTTTGGGTCCACTTGGGGAAGTGTGCGCGGTACCTTGGATTCCTGGCTGCCGGTGGATGCAGGAGAGGGCGGCTGCGGGGCGCTCACGGTCTCCCCAGGCAGCCCGTGCACGCCGTCCTCGCGGGCGCCGCTCGGCGGGATCATGGTGGCTCCGGCCCGGCGTTGGGCTCGCGGAGGAACCGCTCAGCTCCGCGTTCCAGGGACTCCCATCCT